CAACCAGCGGTTCTGACAGGCTCGGTGGCACTCTCACTGTGGATGTGCATTTTAAACTCAGATAATCCAGCTTTTCAAAATGTTCGCTTCACCGTCATATTTGGATACCTACCAAAATAAGTCTGTATCTTTGGACCAATCACATTCCTATGTCAATGTAATGAAGAGTCCTTTAGCTGTGTTATGAAAAACTATCTTGGGCCTGCTAATCTTGAAATACTATGAGTCCATGAAGCATACTAAGACTGGGGTGTGCGTGTGGTGTGTGTGTATGTGTAGGTGTCAATGTGTTTGTGTGTGTGTGTGTGTGTGTGTGTGTTTGAGAGAGAGAGGAGAGAGATGGGCTTTTCTCCTAAGCAAATGAATTTGGGAATCCTTTTCAAAGGGTGGTCCAAAGAGCAAGGAAACAGGAGCTCAGAGAGGGCAATGTTGACTTTGAATGTCCCACACCTTTTTTGGTGTCCTGTAGAAAATCATTCTTTATGGAAAACAAGGCTATGCTTCTCTTGTTTCCCAAGCTTCCTGCTTACCTCATCAAGCATATTAGTTATCTGATAGTTCTTTGCAAAGGGGAGCCAGTCAAGATGCTCTTGGGGCCTGGACATCAAGCTGCCTGACTAGCTGGAACCCAGAACTGCTCTTCAAAATTTGTATTGGTAAGGTCCTATGCCCTGGGAGGGGCAACTTCCAAGTCTTGAAAGCCATGGGGAAAAGAATAATTAGGATAGGGTCCATGACCAGCTGGGCTTACATCTGAAGGGCAACAAAAACAATAGCAAATACAATAGCAAAAACAAATCTGTCTGAATATTAGGCTAACTTCTTTTTCCCTGAATTTTTATTGAATAAGAGGGAATTGAATTATATTTAAATCTGCTTGAAGTCTCTCATGTTGTAAAAGTCTCTCTCAGATACTTTATTTCGAACAAACAGTACTATTTCAGGAAAAACAAGCTAGCCTCAAATAACCTCAGCCAGCTGGTTTGGGACATTAAGAGCAGCCACCTGACAGAATCAATAAAGGAAGAGGACAAATACATTTAAAACAAATTTAATCATTCTTCCTGGGAGATTGACTTTACAAGAGCAAGTTTTAAATGTTGCTGTATACAAGTCTTGAAACGAGTGGTATGAAAAGCAATGTACTAGGTTATTAGCATCAGAGATCATGAAACAAAAACCTTGTGCAGTGGGATAAAATTTCAATGACAGCATCATTCAAAGAGTTCATAAGTATAAGATCTAGAGACAAGGAAGGATATTGTGTAACAGCATCAGGGTCAAACCAACCATAAGATGTATGTTTATCAACTATAAATATATATAACAACAGAAACCCAAAATTGATGGAGCCCAAACTGACAGAACTGAAAGAAAAAAATAGGCAAAATGTAATTGCTGTGGACTTCGACACCGCATTTCACTAATGAATAGAACAATTAGAACATCAACAAGGAACTAGAAGAATTAAATAGCAATATAAACTCTTAGACCACATAGACCCCAAAACAATAGAATACACATTCTTCTCAAGTGCTTAGGAAACAGTCTCCAGGACACACCATATGTTACATGCTAAGAAAAGTCTCAATAAGTTTAAAATAATTGAAATTTTAAAAGTGTCATATGGTTCCATAGAAAAGCTACAGTGCCTGCCTTGAAAGCATGAGGCATGAGTTTGATCCCAAATACTGCCACATGAGAGTGCAATCCTGGAAGATTAATAGTGTCCGTAAACTCTTCTATTTGAGATACCGGGGCTGCAAGTGATCTCTGGCTGCACTGCAATCAGAAGTGTGTGAGCACCACAACTAGAGGGCACAACCCTCAGCAAGCATGGCGAGTACAGAACATATGACAGAAGTATGGCCAAGAGTTCATATGTGTGACCATCACAGTGAGGCCCAGCAAGAACTACTAGAACCTTCACAAATAGCAACCAAAACATGCACAAGGACACTAAATAGTGCACCAGGGGGCTGGTGTGATAGCACAGCGAGTAGGGCATTTGCCTTACACACGGCCGACCCTGGTTCAATTCCCAGCATCCCATATGGTCCCTCGAGAACCACCAGGAGTAATTCCTGAGTGCATGAGCCAGGAGTATCCCCTGTGCAATGCTGGTGTGACCCTCCCACAAAAGCAATAAATAAATAAATAAATAGTGCATCATCCACTGAGCATATATGTAAGAATTGCAACTAAAAGTATGAAAAACACATGTCAGTTGGGTGTGTGTACACTCTACAACCTGATGTGTAATCCCCCTCCCTCTCCAATTAGGTCCACAAAATAAGTGACCACCATAACAAAGCATGTGCAGCTGCTAGTCATCACAACAACATCAACAGACAGAGGAAAGGGAATGGGCAGGGCAGGGTGGGGGCAAAAGAATTGAAATGCTGCCACTGAAATCCAGGCTCTTTAACCATGATGAAATGAAACTAGAAATGAGTAACCAAAGAAAATTTGCAAAACACAAATATGTTGGTTAAATGATGCCCTCCTACCTTGACAAGATGGTCAACACACAAATCACAGTGAAAATTAGTAAACGATTTGACATCAATGAAAGTGAAAGCAAAACGCAATAAAACCTATGGGGTAAAAATAAAGCAGCACATAGAGAGAAAAACGAAGCTTAGAGTTGCAAATGTCTAACTTTAAAGAGATCTCAAGTAATAAAGCAAAGTTTTGTCTGAGAAGGTATAAAAAGAAGACTACACACAAAGTAAATGAAAGAAAATAATAAAGACTAGAGTGGAGACAAATGAAATAGGTAACGGGAAATAATAAAATCGAAAAAGATTAGTTCTTTGGAAATATCAATAAAATGATAAGCAGATTCTGACCCTATGAAGAGGCGAGGGAGATATCAAACAGTAGGATGTATGCTTTTTTTTTTTTTTTTTTTGCTTTTTGAGTCATACCTGGTGATGCACAGGGCGGTGCTCTGGGGACCATATGGGATGCTGGGAATCAAACCTGGGTTGGCCGTGTTCAAGGCAAATGCCCTACCAGCTGTGCTATACTCCAGCCCCCAAACAGTAGGATATATGTCTTGCATGCAGAGGCTTCATGCATCCTGAGCACTTCCAGATATGGCCCTGGCATCCCCACAAACAACAATGGGACGCTGGATCAAGCAGCATCACATCACTGGATCTGAACATTAAACTAGTTAGGCCAAGTATTGTTAAACGTGGTTCCTGGACCCCTGAGCACTGGTTGGATGCCCCTGTCGAAAGAAACTTAAAATATATGTGAAAAGGCGAAGGAATTCTAATAATCTAAGAACTTTTGAGAAAGAAGAACAAAAAATGGAACTTTCAAAACTCCCTGATCTCCCAGATTCACCATGGGTATTCATATTCAGTTCAGCCATCTTTGATTCCCTCCAATCACATTTCAACACATCTCCTCTTTGTTTCCATAGGAAACTGTATAAATGGTTAGCCGGGTACTGAATTTTATGACCTGCAAATGATATCTTTCCTTCCTGCACCCCTGGATCCATCCGAATAGCAAAAATGGAAAATATGGTTAAAATGTCGTTATGCATGGATGGGTGGTTGATGATTTTTAACACCCCGTGCATAAATAAATTATGCAATGTGATTTCTTAGATTGTTGTCACTCTAATCCAGCAGAACTGAGAACCATTTTTTCCTAACGCAAATCAAGTCATTTCCTCTTTCTGGTCCCTAGTGTCATCTGGAAAGTGTATGAGGTCTCGTCATCTTCAAATGTCATCTAGATTTAGATTCTATCAGCATATTTATGTTTGATGGAACTGACCTGTCAAAAGTCAAATTTAGTGAACATATTCATTAAATGTTTCAAAGTGGTCAAACCTGCTGAGTGACTTTAACCTAATTTTCTCTCTTTCTCTCTCTCTCTCTCTCTCTCTCTCTCTCTCTCTCTCTCTCTCTCTCTCTCTCTCCCTCCCTTTAGCATAACTTGATAACTTGAACTCGGTTCCCTTTGAGTACCTTTTGTAGGAAGTGTACTTGGCACTCAATCAGCATTCACAGCAGAATTTTGGCATGGATAATTTGTCAACTACAATATCACCCTATAAACTGCCCCCAAATTTCATTTCTATTACTGATGGGAAAGACCATGAGATAGAAATTTATGAGGTGCCTCAGGTTTGACAGATAGTCATGTGGATCAAAGGGCAAAGGAGCTCTTCTGTATTTAGAATCATAGAATCCCTGTAAAACCTGGAGTCATTTTTGAATATAGTATAGCAAAGAACTGCTCAGTACTTTCTTTGCTTCTCAATTTCAAAGTCATTCTAGTTCAAAACTATATTAATTCTGGAATTCTCTTTTAAAAAAAAAAGAAAATGACTTGACCTCATTTCAGAATTTTAATTTTTAAAAAATTTTTACCAGACACCCACTCAATCTCTCATTCTGACTCTAATCACAAGAGATTTGACCGGCACTTAATTTTCAACATCCTTGCTTAGGCCAACATAGTGGTTTAAAGCTAATATTTGGATGCAGACTCTTGAAATTACTTAATTACCCCATCATTGCAGCAACATTAGTTGATTTTGCATTGTAACATTTTCCAGGGGTGCTGAGATGCCCTCCGGGGTGCTCATTTTGCCCTCCTCAAAGAGCTCAGCCCTTCTTAGCAAAAGGATAAAGGTCATCCTCTAAAGAGTCAAGAGTGGGCCATTTTTCCATTGGCTTTCCAGAACTCACTGTTCTTCCTCAAGAACTGGCAGAGTTATGAACCACCCAGAGCTAGAATCCAATTTTTATGAAGCACCATTTTATACTAACCTCACAAAATGTATTATTATAATCACTCTCAGAAATTCTTAGACATCATTGAAAAAGTCCCCTCTGATTTTTACACAAAAATAAAACTCTAGCTCATCGTTTTCATAATTAGGTTTCTCACAGGAGAAAGACAAAACTGGTCACTAGGTTAAAAGAGAACACATATGTCTCTGACTTAAGGGAGTTTATTCATAGGCTCTTACAAACCAGTAGAATTGCAGGTGGTAGAAGAATCCAGGCCCACTTTAGAATGTCCATGTCCACATGTGGCTGGTAACCTTGGGGCACAGTTTCAGAATCTTCACTGAAGCATACATCCGTGCCAACAGCCTGAGAACTTCCCCAGTGAGAACGAGGCGGGGGTCCTGATACATTCACACTCCAGTGCTCTCCAGGACCAACTGCGTGCCTGTGTACAAATTAAATGGGAGTGTTGAATGTTGGCTTCATGGGAAACCAAAGGTCAGAGGGTTTATTGGCACCATCAAGCCTTGACTTCCCAGCTCCTCAGAGAACAGCAGAGGCCTGCACCCAAGCGGCACTGCCACCTTGGAGGAGCGAGGGGAGTCTCCCAGACCCATTTATTCCCTCCTGGAAAGGAGTTTGTGAGTCGTAAGAATGATTCCAAAGAATTATTCTCATTTTGAAGAGCCCTCTGGGAGGAAACCAGACGTGGTTCAATGGTGAGAGGAATGAATTACACACACACCACACACACGCGCGCACGCGCACACACGCACACACATACACACAAGAACAAGTTGCTCCCACTGTCTAGAGAGATTGGGGATGAGGGAGAAACAAAAGGAAGAAAAGTAGAGGGATAAAGCTCGATCTTGGACCCCTTAATCTCTCAACAGTTATCCTTCTGCAAGTACCTTCTGCAAGTATCCTTCTGCAGGGAAAAGAAAGGGAGATGAAGTCCCTCATCTCTGCCTTGGTTTCCTAAAGGAGGTCCGGTCATTTCTCACCTTCTGGACCCAAATATTGAGGACATCTCACCCAATGCTAGAAAATGATATTATCCCGGAAGGTAGAACAAAACAGTGCTTCATACTAGATAATGATGATGACAATGACAATGAATAGATGATAGATAATAGATAATTAAATGAGGGAGGGATGGAGAGAGAGGGGGAGAGGGTTGGAGGGAGAGAGGGAGGAAAGAAGGAAGGAAGGAAGAAAAAAAGGAAGGAAGGAATGAAGGAAGGAAGGAAGAAAAAAAGGAAGGAAGGAAGGAAGGAAGGAAGGAAGGAAGGAAGGAAGGAAGGAAGAAAGGAAGGAGAAAGACTGATGTTATTAATCATCTAGTGTCTTTAGAAATAGAATTTTTAAGGACCCATTCCTGAGCTCCTGGGTCTAAAGATCGAGGTGAGGGCAAGCATCTGCTCTCTCTTTCTCTCCCCACATCCATCCCACCTTCTATCCTTTCCACCTTCCCTCAATTGCTGGATCATTGTTTTACTTATTCTGGTCATTTGAAAACCTCTGCAATAGGTCATGCAAAGCCAAGTCAAGCCATGAGGACTCTGTCCAAGAGAAATGAGCAGGACAGGATTTTCATCCTAACCCCAGTGGCACAGGGAAAACATAGGTACATCCATTTTCTTGTCATACTCTTGCTCTTTTGAAAGTCTATTTTTTTTCCAGGAACTTTTTAAGGAACATTGTGAATGTGCACAGGTTCATTTCAAAATAATGGGGCTGGAGAGATAGCACAGCGGGTAGGGCATTTGCCTTGCATGTGGTCGACCCCGGTTCAATTCCCAGCATCCCATATGGTCCCCTGAGCACCGCCAAGAGTAACTCCTGAGTGCAGAGCCAGGAGTAACCCCCTGTGCATCGCCGGGTGTGACCCAAAAAGCAAAAAAAAAAAAGAAAAAGAAAAAAAGAAAAGTTGGAGGGAAGAAAGGAGGACATGGTTTCATCTTTTCTTATTCCTATGTTACAAAACAGAACCGTGAATGACAGTGTATGTTGTCTTGCCACCATCAGCTTTGTATTCCTCCCCTCCTTTTCTGGTTATATAATGTCTGACCTTCTTTGAAGGAAGGGACAGTTTTTCAGATTTCCCATCAGTCTCAGCCAGAGTGGGAACAGACTGCCGTTCCTGCTGGGCACTTGATTCTTGAGTAGAGAGGTTCATGAGAACTTGTGTTCACAGAGGAGATATCGGCTATCTGTCAAAAGGAAGGGGCATGACAGAGTTGCCCAGAGAGGCTCTGGTGTCTCTAGTATCCCTCCCACAATGCCTTTAACTTGCTGGAGTCCATGAAGCTCAATCCATGCCATCTGCAAGCAAAGAACCACGCCGTTTTTAGAACTCCATGAATGACACCGATCAAGCTTCCTGTAACAGGAGCTTTTAGAAATTAATTTCTTTTCAGCCAACTAGTAATATGTTAAGGTCAACAACAGATTCAACGGAAGTAAGTTTATTAATTTGCTAAATTGCAGGGAGAATTATGGTGAGGAGAGACAGGTTGTTTAAATGCAAAAGAGGGAAACTTAAATCAGTATAGTCAGCCCCGGACAACTGTGGTCTGTCTCCAACACTATTAAATAACTGTTAGCAGAGCATTCCAAGGGCTTGAGTAGATGGGATCTGATGGTGTTGTTACTTTAGGAAGCAGAGTTTGTAAATATGCAGAAGCAGATGCATCGTATTGTTCAAAAACTGGCTGTGCTCAAAGTCAGCAAACCAATTCTAGTAGAAATAGAAGAAAATGAACAAGAAATCTAAATGGAAGTGCTGCCCCAGCAATCGCATAAAGTGGAGTTCATGAATTGATGGATCTCGATTTCTTGTTGCCTCTTGCACCTGGATCTAGTGAGGAGAGCACATGTGGCCCCTAAACCTGTTCATCCAATGCTCCAACAACTGTTTGTTTTCAATACTCGAGGACATCCTAACACTTGCTGAGAAGATGGTCAGAGTTAACAGAAATGCTTTCGTCTGAATTCATTTGTTTGAATGACGATGATGATGATATCAGTACTCTGCAGTCTTGGTCAGCCCACGTGTCCTGATAGAACTGTCTGTACCCTGGCCAGTTGAGGTTTACTCGGCTGCCTTGGCACCCTCTTTTTCATTCTTAGAGTGGGGAGTAGTGAGCCAAGCACAAAGCAGCCCTCCACCAGTAGCAGATAGGATGTGGATGGATACTGGCTTCCTCACCGCATGTGACTCCAAAATGCCTGCGACTCTCTGACTCTGGTTCTAATTCTCAGGGAGACTGAGAACCCATGAACCACAGTAACAAGTCGCTTTTGATTGGTTTGACTTCCCTGTTTCCTTTCTTGCTCCCAAATTCTTATCTTTGGATCAACTTCTGAGGGTACCCCAACCACAGCTCCAGCATTATATATATTTATTTGTTTATCTTTTGGGGTCACACCCAGCAATGCACAGGGGTTACTCCTGGTTCATGCACTCAGGAATTACTCCTGGCGGTTCTCGGAGGACCATATGGGATGCTGGGAATCGAACCCAGGTCGGCTGCTTGCAAGGCAAACACCCTACCCACTGTACTATTGCTCCAGTCCCAGCTCCTGCATTTTTAATGTCTATTATCCTCACTTGACTCTCCTCCCAAAACAGCAGCAAAAGGGCCCAGGAGGTGGCTCAATGGAATAGAGCACATTCTTTGCATGCCAGAATCCTGGGTTTGATCCTTCACATTTGAATGTTCCCTGAGCACCACCAGGAACCACGAAGCATTTATAAAACCTCATAGCTGAGGGGCTGGAGCAATAGCACAGCGGGTAGGGCGTTTGCCTTGCATGCGGCCAACCCGGGTTCAATTCCCAGCATCCCATATGGTCCCCTGAGCACCGCCAGGGGTGATTCCTGAGTGCAGAGCCAGAAGTAACCTCTGTGCATCGCTGGGTGTGACCCAAAAAGCAAAAAAAAAAAAAAAAAAAAAAAAACCACCTCATAGCTGGGACAGAGAGACAGCTCAAAGGGCTGAGTAATGCTTTGCATTCAGGAGGACTGAATTCAGTCCTTGGCATCACATACTTTTCTGAGTACTGCTGAGCACAGAGCCAGGAGTACACCTTGAGCATTGCTAGGGATGGCCCCAAAACAAAACAAAAAGCAAAACAACTCAGACTATATTAAAAGTGGAAATCCAGTATCGTCTACACTCCATTTTCTCAAATAAGGAATAGAAACGTAGTACAACAGGTAGGGCACTTGCTTTGCATACAGTCAACTCAGGTTCAGTCGCCAGCTCTGCACATGATTCCCCAAGTATTTCCAGGAGTAAGCCCTAAGCACCACCAAGTATAGACACACCTTCCAAAAAAATAAAGCCAAACAAACCAGGTTAGAACAATAGTACAGCTATTAGGATGCTTGCCTTGCACATAACTGATCTGGGTTTGATTCTCAGCACCCCATGTGGTTCCCTCCACACTATCAGGGGTGATCCCTTGAGTGTAGAGCCAGGAATAAACCCTGAGCACTGCCAGGTGTGTGTGGTCCCCAAGCCCAAACAAACAAAAAACATGTTCTCAAAGAGTAGCATTGATGTGTTTACAGTCTGGGACTTAGTCAAAGACCCTCCAAATATTTGAGACCTGAGACAAAAGGTACTGATGGCGCCAGAATAGCAGAAGATGCCAATGTAATATATGCAAATACATACACGAAGATATATCCACAGAGTGTGTGTGAGCCCACGGAGACAAATACAGCCCCCATGGATTTGGTACATCTGGCTAGGAATTATATAACTCGAGTGGCTGTGGTTATTTATTTGTTTGTTTGGGAGCGGCCACACCCAGCAGTGCTCACTTACTCCCTGCTTGGTGCTCCGGAAGCATGAGGTCCTGGGAATGGAACTCGGGCTTTCTGCAGACAGACTTCCTGCTAGTTCAAGCCCTGGAGCCAGGTCTCTGGACGCACACAGGGCTATACCACACCTCGATAAACAGCGGTGCAGCGCATGAAAAGTGCATCGAGAGCGTATAAACGTGCTAAAACCATCCTGGGACATAAGGCTGGAATCAGTGCGTCCAAGTCAGCACCTGGATCCTTCCATTTCCACGGTAAAATGTTCTTTTTCCTGCTCCCTCTCCTCCCCACGAACCGGTGATCACTAACTGCAGACAGAAATCTTTTCTGGGGAGATGCCACCAAGGTTTAGAATCCAATATTCTGGCTTTGTTCTGCCTGAGCGGGGAATTCATGCTTGGGCCCTGCTGCGTGCAGCTTGTCCCGCCAGCCCCGCACTGACTCCTCGGCCCCTCCCCCGCAGGTGCTTCCCCTCCGCCTGCGACTTGGGAGGCTGCCGGGGGCTCCAGTGATCAATGGCAGCTCCAATCAAAGGCACCCAGATAGGCCAGGCACTCCCCACTCCTTGATATAAAAGGTGTTTTATTTCTCATCCCTTTATTTTTGTC